AACTAATACATATATTTGTGAACTGGTGTGATATGATACAAATCAAAATGTTAGTTTTATTACAAGACTTCCAGTTATTGGTTTGTTAGTGACAATGTGGCATGTGTATGGGATTGTATTTGTGCCTTTAATTTTGATGTCTTATTTATTGGGTGGTGTCAAAGGTACTAACAATGTGACATGTGACCTGACTCGAATGTATGTGAATTGGAAGTACTGACAGTGAATAGATCTATGACTTGAGCTGACTGAATATGTGACTTGAGTGTTCTAACAATGAAGATTTGTGACCCTATTCAAATTACTGACCCGAGTATACATGTGTATGCATATGTGACCTGTTAGGCAGAGCATGTTATTAATTGAATCTCTTTGTGTTGTAACATATTATCTCTGTGTGATTTCTTTTCAGTACAAGTGTTTAACATTGTCTGCAATTTCAATACAGGCCTGGCAATTCATAATACTAGAAGACATGTGGTTTCCTGAGAAAATTACAACCTCAATCTGTAAAGGTGTCTTGAATACCATTCAGATGAGCTTAAGCCGACCACAAAAATGTATATTGATGGGAACCTGTTTTGCTCATTTTCTAGAGTGCAACGAGATCATGATACAACCACAACTGATTCACTTCTTCCTTCTGAGACAGGTTCATCAGCCGAACAACGAAGAAATGTGGTTTTATGTGACTGGAAGGTATGTGAGGTTCTCCATCTCCGTGTTCTGTTTAGTATCATGCCTGAGATGTCATTGAGAGTGTGATATACAAGTGTATGACAATAGGACATCAAAACTTAAGGGAAAATACTTTTCTCAAGTGGATACTGTAACACATGAAGACATCAAGTCCATATTCCTCTCTGCGTGTCAAATGCCGGACTTGGATCTTGTTGAAACTCTATCGAATGATGACATTGCTAGGATGGGTGTGTTGTATTTTTTCACTGCATATCTCTTTCCTAGAGATTATAAAAAAGTTGTTGACAACTATCTGTTTGCCCTAGTTGAGGACTTCGATGCAATGAACAAATTTCCATGGGGCAAATTATTATTTGACATTACCTTGGGTTCATTGAAAGATGGGTTGAGTAGAAGAACTTCACATTACAAGCTACGAGGTATGTTGTTAACCTTCAAAGTATAGATTTATGAGACTTTTCCAAGTCTAGATGTAATTGTTGTCACACGAACATCGAAGACGCATCCTCGAATCATGAATTGGATGGCAGATGAACAACATTCTGCTGCTAAGTTGGAAGGAGCTGACTGCTTCGCAAATGTTGATGTAATACATCAGTAAGCCTTGCTACCAGTATACTGAACTGTTATGATTACACTTTTTCTTATATACACTTTTTCCAGATTGTGATTTGTGACCTGGAACCATCGAAAATGAAAATGGCTATGCCATACATGAACAATGTCTAGTACAAGAAGTCGATTCAACTAGACTTGTCAAGTGAGAGCCGCAGGAAAAAGAGGGCAAAGAAGTCAGCCGACAATGCTAGTACTAGTGGAAAGTCAGTGATCCTCTTAATGCACAGCAGTATGGGGCAGCCTAATGTATCGAACGACGATGATGATTTTGTTGATCCTCCACCACAACGTCAAGAGTCAACCCCCCTAAAAAAAATCTCCAATTGATGAAGTACTGTCGGCTGCCTATAACTCTCTAGATGAACCACACCCTCACAGGTCGCAATGGGTTGATGCAAGTTGATGTAATTATTTTTTTTGAAATCAGCAGACAAAGATCAATGTCTAAGGTTGCATATTACCTTTTTGAAATCATTGGTCACAGATCACTGCGATGAAGGTTACATATCCACCATATTTTCATCACATAACATATTTTCCTAAGTCACATATAACCATTTTTTTCATAAAATTGGTCATACTTATGTTGTTATGGTGTTATGTCAGACATGTTATGATTTGAGGATGCAAATATGTAAACTGAAGTCGGGCAATAAATTGTTGAATAGGGAGCTCGCTGACATCAAATCACAGATGTCATGCTTCAATGATGTGCACTCAACAAAAATGAACTTCATTGTCCAAATGTAAGGTGCCCTAAAAAGTGACTTGATGGAGATTCGAACTAACATGTAGTTTCTGTTCGAAATTGTGTTAGCAATGATATCCAGTTCAATGAAAGAAATCATGACACAGTTTAATGAAAAAGTAAAAGATCGAGGCACAGAAGTTCTAGGAGTTGGAGATAAGGGAACTCAGGTTGCTAGAGGCTCTGATAAGACCGATGAGGTACTTACATAATATTTACACATTTCATTTTACACACCATGGTGAAATTGACATGCCAAGTATTCTTCTTCTTCTCCAAGATACAGGTGCAAACAATGTAGCTAAATGTTGACAAGAAAAGGAAAGGTAAGATAGACCCAAGTGAAGACATTGGTACCCCCTATAGTCTTCAACCACCATCGTTCGATTTGGGGATCGGATATATGCAACCTGATGACGTACACTCTGAAGTCATTCAGAAACAGGTAGATTCCATTATATCTGAGATGGTGACGACAACCAAAAGTGTTCAGGTAGAGGTATTCACAAAGCCATTATTCATTCTGTACTTGTCACAGATCTACTACATGCCAATAATAGTAAACTTTAACAGGTCACAGATCATTCAAAACTTAGTCACATACAGTGTCTATGTACAATGTGAAACTTAACAAGCTTTTACACCAATATACGGGGATCCACGTCTCTTGAAGGTCGTTCTGAATTACCAGTCAAGCGAGTTTTGAGACCCGCAAGGATATTGCAGTCTCCGTTCATTGTTGGAGAAGGTAAATTGTTCAAACATGATGATCATATCATAGTTTTTGAGCATTTCAAAGGTGGCGTTGAAGAAGTTGGCAGATCTACGTTCATGAGTTGGTTCCAGAGGGATTTCAAACCCACAAACAAGTACGTTCAATTTGTATATATCTGAGAATGTAACTTAACAAGTCATGGTAGCACAATACTCAATTTCATGTTTGCAGGAAAAAGTTTAACGATGAAGATGACAAAATCAAACCTGCATTCATCATTGGTTCATTCCCAATTGATCACAAGTCATGGTTCTACAATCTTATATACTCAGAATCGTCTTTGAGTAGCACGATACAATAAAATCACATTATGCTGTCACATATCCAAAGAGTGTCCACATATTTTAATTTTTTCACTTACATGTTATTGTTGGTCACACTTTCACATATTGGTCACATATTCACATGTTGGTCACATTTTCATAGACTGTGTCCTTTTCTTACATGTCATTATTTTCTTTTTGACAGCACATGGATGCGTGCTTCTACTACATCCGTCAACTTCCAAAACATGGCAAGAATGTAAAGTTTAAAGCCACAACAACAAATTCTTGGTTTCAGCATAAAATAAAAGACATATATCCTGCTTTTATGAAGAATTCCGAGGTTCTATGTCGGAGTTGAGCCTTGTTAATGTCATAACTGGTCACAGCCTACCTTTAAGCACACCTTGGGCTGAAGTTGACCATGTGTTCATGCCAATACTACCCACAAACAAGGTCCACTGGATGCTAGGTATGCTACAATTCAAAAGTCACACATTGATAATGTTCAATTCGACGGGTAAAACATATCGTGACTGGAAGGTTCTAGAAGGCATTGAGTCATATGTGAAAATCTTGCCAGCACTTATGAATGCTTTAGAAATTTCAAAAAATGACCCTGATTATCACAGACCTGACTTTAAGGAATTGAAGGTGCACATCGACAGTACGCTATCCCAATAGACAAATGGGTAATTCTTGGAACATATTATGTGTGCTTAACCTGATAATTTTTCCACTAATAACATTATTTTTCACTATTATTTTGTAGTCATGATTGCGGGATATTTGTGATTTAGTACGCTTATACATCATCTGTAACGGACGATGTTACATACCACATAGATTCGACATTAACAAGTGTAGACTGGGTATTGCTGCACTACTCTACAAATATCGAGAGATGTATGTGAAACATGCGAAGCAGGGATTAATGGAGGAGGGGATGGTTATAGAATGACATCATATGTGTTACGAAGATGAAGTTTTAGTTGGTAGCTTTTGTGATCTGTACACACATGGCTTTTTGTATTTTTATCGATGGTTCTCAAGTGGATTTGTCTTGTTACTATGTACACGAATTTTTTCGTGTGGAATATATGACAACATCACTTTTCATGTTATAAAATGTAGTAATTATTTTTCATAGGAATTGCTTTGGTCAACTATTATTTTTTGGTCACGGGTTATTTTGGGTTTATATGCACTTGGATGGTCACAGATCATGAGTTGCTTTGCACTGGATCACCGATTACATAATCATAAGCATTTAATGTACATGATCTTTTATTGTTCGAAAATGTCACAGATAACAGAATTCAATGGCACATAACTTTTTTTTAGTCAAATTTAATCTTTTTTGCATTATTGGTCAGAAATAACTCTATTTTGTTGTGTTACATGTCATCACATTATGTCCCAAAAATATTTTGTGATCACATGAATTTAGTAGTGGTCACATTTCACTAGGATTTAAGTCACATGTTCATCATATTTTGGTCATAGAGTTGTTAGGAAGTCACATGTCAATTTTTTTTCCAAACCATTAGTCACATTTCTTTGAAGTTTGATCACATGCATGTGCATGATTCATCAGGTCATTATTCTGAATTAGCAATGACCACATAATGCAATAACAAAGGTTATGTATTTGACATTAGGTCACATGTCCTGCTGTGTGAGGAATAGGGATTCACAGCCAACTAGATCGCATAACTTTTCACCATATCTGAATGATTTTATTTACAAACAAATACTTAGACTGAAATAAGATTTTGTACACTTGGAAAAACAATGGCCACATTTAACGTCAATCTTGTATTACAAATGAATGTTTCAAAAACACAATGGCCACATTTATTCGTGGTATTGCAATGTATTGCATTGACTAATATTAGCTCAATGGAACAAGACTAGAACATCTCCTACGGTTGTGACCATGTCCTCCACAGTGCCCACATTTCACTGATGGTTTTCCTTCTTTGGATGATCTCTTCCTCTTCTCAGTTGGCCTTCTACAACTCCGTTTCTGATTAAGAGCTAACACAATTTCATGTAGTACTTCTTTAGGCAATGTCCATTCGCTTGGATTTCCAATAGGATATATAGAGTCTTTGTATGGGTTCAAGTATGCATCACGTGTGTAATAATAATAACAGAAAGTATATGGATCTCTTTTTGCATTTGTAATTACAACCAATGCATGTGGACATGGTAACAAATCAACTTGTAGCATCCTACATGTGCATGTCTGTTTCTCAATATCAAACAACGAAAGTTCTCTTATCACCGCTAATCGAAAACACTATCTGGTCGGAAGGGGAAACCTGGGAGAATATAATCAAATGGACAAATTACATCAGTTCAAACAAGTATCTACCAAGTAGCCACAATCTTGAGGTATATGTCACAAATTATATATCTAAGCAAGTCCACAGAGTTATATGGAAAGGTCACATGCAGTTACACAGTTTAATGTCACAGGTATGTATAGGAATGTCACATGCAGTGAGTTCAGGTCACATATATAAAAGGCGCATAAGTATACAAACATATGTTATCACAGAAAAACTTAAGACTTACCCTCAAGTTCTTTAAATCTATACTCATTTTTCTGATCTCGTTCTCATATTTGCTTGTCAACTTTGTGAACGTCTCATGCGTGTTGTCTCTGTGTTTACAAAATTAGTTTTGCGTAGTTTGTCGGTATGACTCCAGCATGGATACTATTGGATAATTTTTGGCTACCTTCGTGACTACATTGACTGATTCCACGATGTTCGATGTCATTGTTGGCACATGGGTTCGAGACCACTTTTCAGGTCCAACCTCAGCCTGCAAACATGTATTGCATTGAGTAATATCGTATAACTACAATATGTAACAATTCCAATATTTTGTGAAAAATGACATTGAAGTACTAGAATACCAGGTTAGCGCTAATCTTTTGATTCATTGTATCTAGTTGCCGCATATGATATTCGAACTCTTCCAATGTGTAAGCTCTGACAACTTAATTGAAAGTTTGGGTAATGTTTTGTCCATATTTCCTAAAATGTGACTTCTAGTTTTACAGCAAATGATACGAACAGATACCATGATAGGTTCCCGGATACATATGTTCTATTACATTCTTTGTACTATTATGCCGATCCGATACAAAACATAGCCATTCTCTGTTCCCGTACACCTTTTTCAGGGTTTCTAGAAACCATTTCCAAGATTTGTCGTTCTCATTATCTCCAATCCCAAATATAAGGATGAATACACTGTTACTTGCATCTTGCGTACACGCTATGAAAAGAGTACCTCCGTAGTGACCATTCAAGTACGTACCGTCAACCACAATTACAGGCCTACAATGTTTCCAGCCGCATATTGATGCACCAAGTGCTATAAAACAATACCTGAAGCGATTGTGACTGTCAACCGCAAGTTTATGATCGTCCCAGGATTCTTTTGTCGAAACATGTAGAAAAACCTTGGTATGTCACCAAACAAATCAGTCGGATCACCTCTTATCATCTTCAGGGTTTGCTCCTGAGATCTCCACGCTTTCGAATACTTTAAATAAACCCCATAATTATGCAACATATCACTGCATATATCCTTCAATGTATATATAGTATGAGACAACATAACTTGTACTTGATGTCAGCGGACACAATTGTAGCTGATAGTTGCCTGTGTGACCCCAGCACTACATTTGATGCACATGTGACTACCAATCTTCCAAATCTTAAACAGTTCTGTTTTACCCCATTTCGATGCTCTGCATATCCAACTACATCCCTCTTGTGAGCATCTCACAATATATTCTTTCTTGTCTGACCATTCCACCATAAACTGAAGCATATTTTGTATGGAAAAAAGTGACAGGCTTAACTTTAAAATATCTTTATCACAGAAGACCCTTCCATCTTCGACCTCTCTAGCATCTGCAACATAAACAACTGTGATTTTGTTGTCATAAATGTGATCTACATTTTCAATTATTGCTTCACAGATGTCTGATGTCATATCCTCTAACGTACATAAATCACCAACAACATATAGATTAACTGGCAGTGTGATAGATGGTTTATCTACTTCTACCTCCGCAACATCAATAATTAATGGGGATTTAGTAGGTTCGCGCTCTATATCCTTCAGCATGATGTAAGAAAGCACATTACTGTCATTTTCTGATTCTAATTGGAGGCAAATTTTCATTCAGTATGTACTTCATTGAGAGTGCTACCTTTGTAGGATACAAATCGAACTCCTTAATAACTGTATCCACAAGGTTTACATATTTGCAATTTGGATCTACTAACGCCAAAGAAGTTTGAGATGCATGCAATAGGCACACGTGCAAGTACATCATTTCTACAAATTAAATTTACATTTGTTAGTAGTCTAGTGTTGAAAGTGTAACTGTTGACACAGTTTGTGTATGAACTCCTAAAATAATAGACATGCACGTTTTTCACATAGTCACAAGTGAATGCATGGCAGAAACATAAATCACATGTTAGGCATCACAATTCACATACACGAATTATGCGCATTAGTCACATATACAGCATGTATTTAATTTTACGAGTGTTTTCATTCAGGTCACATTTTTGGAAATACGTCAGGTACGAATGAATATGACTGCATATCACATGGGTCACAGATCATGTAACACAATTAGCTCACTTAGATTACACGCAGTAGTTCCATATACTGAGTGACTCAGGTCACATTCTTCAAAAAGTTAATCACGGAGAATATGAATTTCAATATTGGTGAGACATGTTCATCATACGTCTAATATGTGGCCTTCATATTACATTACATATAATATGCGCATTGGTCACATAGTCAGATATCAGATTATATGTCGAAGCACATACATGTACTTTATTTTCAGCGATGATCAGGACTTCTGTGACTAATGATAAATTTCTTCTGTTGCAAATATGATTGTATTACTAAATTGATAATCGTAGTTTGAAATTCAATGATTATTCGTCTCCGACGATTGTATTCGATTTACCGAACATAATTACGGAGTATGTTACTCGACGTTTCCATCGCCGGTGAGATTGTGAAATTTCACATCGAAATTAGTGATAACTGTTACCTGCTTCGTTATCGTCGACGGTCGGAATAGGTTTTTATGGTGAGAACGCAGAATGCTAGTTGAATTTTTAATTTTGGGATGTCGATTTTGTATTGAAATGAGTTCATATAGAAGGGAGCTATGCGTAATTTTAGGAAACGACTGTAACTATATATATATATATATATATACACACACACACACACACACACACACACACACACACACACCTGAGTTTTGAATCTTCAAACTATGCATTTGACGAAGTGTATACTTAGTCACTAAACTATGATTTTTTCCCATATATATATATTATAATTGTAAAAAACGGTGGCTTAAAAGGGTGAGAAAACAGAGTGTCGTGGCTGCAAATATATAAATTGGAAAACAGAAAAACGTAGGCCGTCGGCTGGGAAATTTTGGAAAGAAGAAAAAGTTGGAAATTGATAGATTAAATAAAGTGGTTGCTCAATTCCTTTTTGAGGTGTGGTATCATACACGTTTATTTTTCTTCTCTACACAATACAAATTGGGATTTCTCGAAGTTGTATTTTTCGTACTTCATGGATGTAGTGTTCAAAGTGGGATCTCACAAAGTTCATCAAATTGTTGATTTGTGGAGAGATTATTTATTGGGGAAAATTGGAGTCAAGGTACCAAACCTTTCGCTTATTAGCAGACTTTGCCCAAACCTTTTATCTGTGCCAACCACGGTACCAAACCTTTCAAAAATGCTCACTTGAAGTCCAACTTAACGGAAACTGTTAGTTGACCAAAAGTCAACTATTTAACCAAATTTTGACTAATTTTAAAAGGTTAAAACGGTAAATTTATATTTTGTATAATAAAACAATTAAAATACAAAATCCATTTCATCTTCTCCACTCACCCCACACTCACCCATCCTACCCAATCCCATACAACAAACTACAGAACCCACCCTTCCCAGACATCGTTACCCACCGCACCACCACGATCCATCTGATTTTGACGATCTCGCCCTCTTCTGTTGTGCCGCGCTTGCGTCCATTCGCCCTGGTGGCTTCGCCGTATCCCGTCTACGAACCACTAAGTCCAAACCCAAAATTGCCTTCTTGTTCCTTACAAATTTAGATCTCCATTTTGCCTGATTTGGCAACTCTTCTTCAACCACCACCAAGCAGTTTACAATATCTATATCTACGTTGATCCCTCCTCCAAAATTACTCCTCCTGGTGGGGTATTTGAACGTCGTTTCATCGCTACGAAACTCACTCAACACGCCACCCCTACTCTCATCTCTGCCGCACCTGCCTCCTCGCCACTGCCCTCCTTGACGACTCTTTAAATCCCTATTTTGCCTTCGTCTCCCTGAACTACATCCCGCTCCACTCATTCCAATTTATGTATAATACTTTATTCATCAAAAACGAATTTCATCCTATTAGTTTCAAATTTCAGATCTAAAACACAAAATTAGTTGTTGAGAGCTTTAGCCAGGTATTGGTGAAGGGAAGACGATGGTGGTAGTTGGCCTAAGTGGCGACGATGGTTGGTAGCCAGGGTGGCGGTGGCAATCGGTTACCTGGGTGCCGTGGTAGTGATTTTGAGCCAAAGAAGAAGAAATGGTTTATCCTTTTTTATTGTTTATAATTATTATTATTTTAATTTATATAAAAAATGTAAATTTACCCATTTACCCTCTAACACATTAGTCAACATTTGGTCAGACCATGGACTTATGGTCAACTAATGGTCAAATTAACGGAAACCATCCATTTGAACTTCAAGTGAGTATTTTTGAAAGGTTTGGTACTATGGGTGGCACAAATGAAAGGTTTGGGTAAAGTCTGCTAATAAGCGAAAGGTTTGGTATCTCAGCTACAATTTTTCCTATTTATTCTCTTAGAGATTAATTATTGTGGCATTCCAATTTGTGAAGAATTCAAGTTTTGGGGCACAAATTTAAATATTGTAATCTATATACTTTTATTATCATGGATTTGGCCGGAATTGCCCCGTGGCTTTTTTCCTCTACATTGGTGAGTTTTTTCCACGTAAAAATTTGGGGTTATATTTGCTTATTTTTGCTTTGATTATTTACTTGAATACTTAATTAATCTAGTTGATTGCTTAGATTGGTGAATTTATTCTTGCAATAAGTGAAATTGCCCAACACATAGTTCAATTTAATTTTTTTAGAACCAAAATCAAATGGAACTATGTTCACGCCTATTACCCATACTATTTGCATAGCTTTGATTTTCTCTATCAAAATTTAGTAGATTTTGTGATAAACATACTTAGTGCACACAAAAAGAGGATTGTTTCTATTTCCAGTAGTGAACATTTGTCCTGTAATTTTGTGAGGCTAGAGAGATTGCAAAAATCTGTGATTTTTTCATACATTGTATTCAACTTTCTTGAATCAATTCTGGTATCAAAATTTAATCTACTTTGTCGATGCTCAACTGATGAGTTACGTTGAGAATAACGTGAACATTTGAACTCATAAGTAAGTGAAAAAGTTTCTTTTATTGATACTTTAATTTTATTCAAATCTTACTTAATCATTTGGATTTAAACGTTTATTTGGGGCTAACAGCTAGTTAATTTCTCGTTTCAAAATAAGTATTTTCTTAATTAATGAAGTGTTTAATGCCAAAACTGCGAATCCATTTTTCTTCTCAAGTCAAGGCTCGACTTCACATCTCACTCGAATAATTCAAAGTTCAAACAACTTGTAATCAAATTAACGTATTGTTGTTTATATTTCCTCCTCTTCGTATTTGTCCTTGTTGCACTTCTTATCCCCTTTTTTACACACAAGATTTTTAATAAACGAGATTCAAGAAACCATTTATTTCTCTCTCTTCCCCAGTAAAAGT